ACTCTACACAGCACATGGGCCAGCACACCCATCAGAGAGGCTGACACCAGATACAGGGCATGTTTACTAGATACAGACTGAGGGAGAGTCAGAGACTCAAGAGCCAAGCTCATAAGATGCCATCCCAACCACTTCCAGACCTGGCTCCACACAAATCCTCACATAAAGCCAAGCTGCCTAAGAGGTGGAGGAAATGCTATCTGCAAGGTCCCAGGCAGAGCAGTTACCACAGGATGAAGGAATGTCTGCCAATGAGGGGGAAGAGAAACACTTTGAACACCCCACCCTGCCTCTCAGGACCAGGTCCAGGGACTGTGGAGTTAAGGTAAGGTAAGAGAAGCCTAGCCCACATCATGTCGTGAATGCATCAGCGGGTGCCCACAGGAAGAAGAGCAAGACCACCAGGAGCCAGTTCACACCACCCACACCAAGAATGGCAGTGAGAGCCTGTGATGGAAAGATGTGTAGCAAGAATACTCAAGGAGTCACCGTCCATGGACAGCCCCAACCTCTACACTAACAAAAGGAAAGACATGCTCATTGCTAGGCACACATGATATTTATCTGAGTCTCCAGTGGACTTTTATATACAATGTCAAACATTTAATAAAACTTACAAGACAGGGCTAGAAGGCAACAAAGGAAACAGCCCACTGTAGGAGTTAAGGTATTAGCAAAACCAGACCCAGAGATGCTTCAGCTGTTGAAATAATAATTGTTACTACTATCATTGTCATTTGGGATTTGAGACAGCGGCTCTAATAGTTCAGGCTGACCTTAAGCTTGACCTTGAACTCCTGATCTAACCCCACCCCCAAGTGCTGGGATTACAGGTCCAGGTAAAGAAATTATTTGACAATGATTATAAAATATATATGATTATTAACACATTAAAGAATCCGGTGGGGAAGTGTATAACACAATAAAAGATAAAAGTGTATAACACAATAAAAGATGGGGCAGAGGTGATCTAAAATATGAGAAACTAGATACTAGATACGCATGATGCTGAGGGAAGATGAAGGGGCAGCATGAGTACCCAGGAAAGTGGTACAGTTGGGAATAGTATTAAAGAGACTTTGACACACTTTACAAAGCACCCATGGGCCACTCACAAACACAAATGACAGGCTACAGGGCAAGTCTCCATGAGTTTGGAATGACTGAAATGGAATGACAAGGTTGCTCTGTGGACACACCAGGAAAACTGACACCTGGGACTCCTCCACCCAAACACTTTGAGAGTAAACAATGTACTTCTAAGTAACCTACAGGTCAAAGAAGAGATCACAGAGAGCTTGGGAAACATAGTCAATTTAACAAAAAGACAACACCCTGAACTGCACAAGAGGCTCGGACTGCAGTGCACTGAAATCCGAGGCATTCCTTCCATTTACACACAGGACAAGTTTGCAGATCAATGATGTCAAGTTTACATCTTTAAAACTTTAAAAAGTTGTGGAAGACAGAGAGGAAAGAAGGACTAGCAGAGAGAAGAGCGCAAGCCAACAGAAGGGAAAACAGAAATAAACCAGAAATAAACCTTTGACCGTGTAAACAAAAGGGAGGTCATTCAGGTAACACCCTGAATGAGACAGGACAATCACAGTGTACAGAGCACAGGAGAGGGAGAGGTGGGGGAGGGGAGGGAGGGACTGCTGTGCATCTGAAGCCACCTTAGCACACACAGTGAGTTCTATGCTAACCTTACTTACTGCCTACAGAGTAAGGATGTCTCAGATATAAACAAGGAGACGGAGAGGTCTCTGAGAGCACAGGGTGTCCCTGCAGGGACCCACTCAGGATTACAACCTTTTATAACTCCAGCTCCAGGGGATCAAGGCCGACACTGAACGCCTGTGACAAACTGCCCCTCCATGCACATAACTATACATTTTAAAAAAGCAGCCCAATTAAACAGAATTAAACAGAATTCACCACCATTCCAGTAAACAGACACACAAAAAAAGTTATTATAGGAATATCATGAAATAATTTCTATTCCAAACTATTAGCAAATAAAATTCAGCAAAAATACTCAATGTGTGATAGATAGGTCACAGCCAAGTTGGGCTTATCCAAGAAATGAAAGACCAATTTAACAGCTGGCAGTAAATGAACATAATTCATTAGCAAGTAAATGGCCGGGGAAAGTAACATGATTATAAGAACATGTGGGAAAACCGGACACAACTCAGCAGTCATGATTACCCTTAGCAAGGCAAAAAGCTCTAACTGATATCCATGCGAGCTGGGACAGGACGGGCACAGCAAATGGCTTCTCAGTAAGCCGTGTGAACCTGGGCCAGCCAGTTATTAATGTGTAAAA